CTGTTACATTGAGTGCACACGACGATTATGACTAACATTTGTAGCTTTTCCAAATGAAATAGGCTGGGATAATTTACAGTAGCAGGCCTTCTCTCCTCGCTCCAGTTGTTGCCGTCGCACTCTGCTCGCCGCACGGGCCCGCGGCTAATCATACGCGTAATATCACTTCACCGGAATCCGTTTTTAAGTAGTAGACGTTGAAAGCTCCGCAAACATGTCGTGTGTGTTTTTATGAAGAGCTGTTTGGAGAAGTGACACTAAACGATGTCTGTGCAAATTCTGAAACGCTGGGGGGTGTTCTACATGAATCTGTGTGGTGGAAAGTTCAGCGGATACAACTGTGACACGAAGCGCACATTAAGGGCTTAACCGGGACTGAACCAGGACTAAAACAGGACTAAACCAGGACTGAACGAGGACTGAACCAAGACTGAAAGAGGAATGAACCAGGACTAAATCAGATATAAACCAGGACTAAACCAGGTCTAAACCAGGACTGAACCAGGACTGAACCAGGACTGAACCAGGACTGAACCAGGACTAAACCAGGACTGAACCAGGACTAAACCACCAGGACTAAACCAGGACTAAACCACCAGGACTAAACCAGGACTGAAGTAGGACTAAAAGAGGACTAAATCAGGACTGAACCTGGACTAAATCAGGAAAGAAATAGGACTAAACCAGGACTGAACCAGGACTGAACCAGGACTGAACCATTACTGAACCATTACTGAACCAGGACTGAACCAGGACTGAATCAGGACTGAACCAGGACTAAACCAGGACTAAACCACCAGGACTAAACCAGGACTAAAGCAGGATTGAACCAGGTCTAAACCAGGACTAAACCAGGACTAAACCAGGACTAAACAAAGACTGAACCAGATTTGAACCTGGACAGAACTAGGACTGAATCAGGACTAAACCACCAGAACAAACCAGGAATAAAACAGGATTGAACCAGGACTAAACCTTAACTAATCCAGGACTAAACCAGGACTAAACCAGGACTGAAACAGGACTGAAACAGGACTGAACCAGTACTGAATCAGGACTAAACCATCAGGACTAAACCAGAACTGAACCAGGACTAAACCAGGACTAAATCAGAACTAAATCAGAACTAAACCAGGACTGAATCAGGACTGAATCTGCAAACTATTCATGGGTTTCAGAATGATGAGAAATTTGGACCGTTGCCATAGTGATTACCAATTTCAAACAGAATATCTTTTGCGTGGGTAAAACTCATACACATTCTAATTACAAGAGAAAAGTCCTAAAATGGTGCCTGTAACTGTAACAAGAAGCTGAATCCATATCCCGTATCACACATCACAACTGTGCTTCATAACAAACCACAGCTCGGTTTTAAATTCACAAATCCACTCAATATAAAAGTGTGTCATATACTCAGAGACAGTCCCAGGAGTCTTACAGAAACGCCTCATTACATGCACATTGCGACAATTATCTCCAAGACTGAATAAGAATCAATACCTCCGGGGGCCTCTGCGCTGGATGAGGTACAGTGGGAGAAAACTTAAAACCAAATATGACTGAACTTACAAGTATGACTGAACTAATTGATACTTCAACTTGTAGCTCTCCACTCACTTCCGAACAGCTCGCCAAGGGATTTAAGAGCTGAAACACTAAAAATGTGATGACCTGAATGCCTATCACCATTGTAAATTTGTAAATGTCATTTTGATGCTTAACTATGGAGGAAGAAAGCTTTCAGAAATATTCGTGTACATAGGATAGAAAGAAATCTGTGCATATTTGTCTATAGTTGAGCATAAAATAAATATTCTTAAACTCTCGAATGAGTCCAGTCGTACGTAAAGTGGGTTGTGTGTATTTTATCCATCAGTTGAAAAGTTACGACATCAAGAATTACAGTCAAGAAACATTGTTTGGTTTAGTCCTGGTTTAGTCCTGGTTATTCCTATAATCAGTCCTGGGATCAGTCCTGGTTTAGTCCTGGTTCAGTCCTGGTTTAGACCTGGTTTAGACCTGGTTTAGACCTGGTTTAGACCTGGTTTTTAGTCCTGGTTTAGTCCTGGTTTAGACCTGGTTTAGACCTGGTTCAGACCTGGTTCAGGTTCAGACCTGGTTTAGACCTGGTTTAGTCCTCGTTCAGACCTGGTTCAGACCTGGTTTATACCTGGTTTAGTCCTGGTTCAGACCTGGTTCAGACCTAGTTTAGACTTGGTTTAGACCTGGTTTAGACCTGGTTTAGACCTGGTTTAGACCTGGTTTAGTCCTGGTTCAGTCCTGGTTTAGACCTGGTTTAGACCTGGTTTAGACCTGGTTTAATCCTGGTTCAGTCCTAGTTCAGTCCTCCTGGGTTAGTCCTGGGATCAGGCCTGGTTTAGTCCTGGTTTAGTCCTGGTTCAGTCCATATGTGGCACAAAAGTCCGGCATCTCAATCGATGTTTCTTCTTCTAAATAATGCCTGTGAAGTGACAGTAAAGTCGTATTCGTACTGAAGAAAGCGTCATCGTAAAAGAATTATAATCACGAAATGAAAATGATGTTGTAACTTTTCAATTCGTATTCTGATGGACAACGCAATTTATGTACGACTGACTGGACTCATTCAAGAATTTACGAATATTTATTTTATGCTCAGCTACAACCAACTATGCACAGATTTCTATCCTTTATGCTCATATATGCTGCACATAAATATTTCTGAAAGCTTTCTTACTCCATACTTAACTTTGTGCACTAATAACTGGCTAATCTGGCCCTTTTAATCATTTTAACCATATTCTATTCTCCACTGTTGCCAGCAGAGGGCGACACAAAGGGAAACATGAAGTGAAAGTGCAAGCAATGATCATAGTAATGCCCACGCTAGTCTGGTCCAAATAGGAAGTTAGTATTCTGGCACTTTCAGCTCCTGATCCTGGCTCCCATTGACTTAACTCGCTCTACACGATCCTGGTGTTTTTATTTCGCTGCTTTGTCCATAAAAATCATCCTATTCTAATTTGGAACTTGGCTCCAAATTCGCCCCTGTAACCGCTGGCATTGGCCACGTTTATGTGATGTTTTTTTTTATTCCAAATTAATTTTTCTGAATTAAATGGTTCAGAATTAAAATATTCTCCTTCGAGTTTACATGGAAATAATAATTCTGAATTGAGGTTTACATGGAAAACTCGTTAAATTGTCTTTATTTAATTCGTCTGGGGGTGGGGAAGTGTTCTGATTGGACAAAGACACCAAAGTATTTACGTCGACCGGAAGAAAACGCACACTTCAGCTGCTACTGGCTTTTCTGTCGTCTCGGTTTGTCGTTACGCCACGGACACAAACATGATCTAAACTTTTATCGCAGCGGTTCTGATGATAATTGCGCAGCAGCTGGAGAATTCTCTCATCGCGCTTTACGTCTGTCGGCTGAGGAGGAGAAGGGAAGAAGAAGACAAACTGAGTCAACGGCTGCTCTACTTCACAAATCCAAAGAGACGTGGATGAAAGTCTGAAGCCAGGACTTGGTCGAGCCGGATCAAAGGGCGACCCAACGAGCATGCTCTGAACGACCGGAATTATTTTTAAGAAGAATAAATATTTACATGATAGAGGAATAAATTAATTAATTCGGCTTTAAAATCAGAATAAACCAACCACTCACTTCAGAATTAAGTTTCATTCTGAAGTTAAGTGTTTACATGGTCTTACAGGGCTGAACCAGAACTGAACCAGGTCTAAACCAGGTCTAAACCAGGACTGAACCAGGGCTGAACCAGGGCTGAACCAGGTCTAAACCAGGGCTGAACCAGGTCTAAACCAGGTCTAAACCAGGGCTGAACCAGGGCTGAACCAGGACTAAACCAGGACTAAACCAGGTCTCAACCAGGGCTGAACCAGGTCTAAACCAGGGCTGAACCAGGTCTAAACCAGGGCTGAACCAGGGCTGAACCAGGACTAAACCAGGATTAAACCAGGACTGAATCAGGATTGAACCAGGATTGAACCAGGATTAAACCAGGACTAAACCAGGGCTAAACCAGGACTAAAGCAGGATTGAACCAGGACTAAACCAGGACTGAACCAGGATCGAACCAGAACCAAACCAGGACTAAAGCAGGATTGAACGAGGACTAAACCAGGACTGAAAGAGGGCCGAACCAGGACTAAACCATGACTAAACCAGGACTAAACCAGGATTGAACCAGGGTTGAACCAGGGCTGAACCAGGACTAGACCAGGACTAAACCATGACTAAATCAGGACAAGAGGAGGACTAAATCAGGACTGAACCAGGACTGAACCAGGACTGAACCAAGACTGAACCAAGACTGAAACAGGACTGAAGTTGGACTAAACCATGACTAAACCAAGACTGTAGTAGTTTAAACCAGGACTAACCCAAGACTGAACCATGACTAAACACCAGGTCTAAACCAGAACTAAACCAGGACTGAATCAGGACTAAACCAGGACTGAACCAGGACTGAACCAGGATCGAACCAGGACTAAACCAGGACTAAAGCAGGATTGAACGAGGACTAAACCAGGACTGAAAGAGGGCCGAACCAGGACTAAACCATGACTAAACCAGGACTAAACCATGACTAAACCAGAACTAAACCAGGACTGAATCAGGACTGAAGTGGGACTGAATCTGCAAAGTATCCATGAATTTCAGAATAATGAGAAATTTGGACCGTTGCCATAGCAGAACATCATATTTTTTAAATGGGTAAAACTCATACACATTCTAATTACATGTCAAAGAGAAAAGTCCTCAAAATGGCGCCTGTAACGGTAATAATTAACGATAATTTACAGTAGCAGGCCTTCTTTTCTCGCTCCTGTTGTTACCGGCTTTAAAATCAGAATTATTATTTTTATTTGGAATTAAAGCTCTCATGTAAACGTGACAACTGTGAGTTTCATTTAACCGGAACCAAACGCTGTGGGCCACATCACACTCACTTAGTCCACTTCTTTACACCGTCTACGCCGATGACACATACCTGATCTGAGTAGAAGAAGCCAAGAACGGCGATCACCAGCTGAATGACGAAGACCAGTGTCAGACTGAAAGAGAACTGAGAAATAAAATAAAACAGATTTTCTCTCATGATTCATTTGTGACAGATGAAATAGAGCCGTATATTAACAGCGTGATGAGTTTTACGGTCTTGAGGAGGCGTATGTTCTCTCTGAGTGCGCCGATGCAGCCACAGAAGGTGATGAAGAACATGACGACGCCCACCACGATCAGGATCACAGCGGGGTCAATGAGGAACGTGTCCCGAACCGTGTCTGGGGGAAAATAAAGAAGGAAACTGCTCAGAATGTTATCGTACCTGCTAATTTAGAGCTTGTTTGAAAGTCATGATAGATGCATAGACTGTTTATAAAAATGGACATAGTAAATAAGAAGTGAGCATGGACGCGCTTCTGGCTCCATTGACTCTGGGTTCAAATCACTTTACGTTGACAAATCGTTGCCTCTCTCTGTAACTACTGCTGTCAGGCTCAACATTTTGGTCTTAGGGCACTTTTATACCGTTAGTTTGATTATTTGGTAAAGGTCAAGTGGTAACGGAGGGAAACGGGCAGATTTTTTACATTCAAATGTCTCTTATTCAGAAACTAGAGGGACTATTGAAATAAGTAAAGTATCAGAATGTAGGAAAGAGTTACACTCCAACAGGGTCAAGTTAAACCTGTGATATTCTTTCAAGTTGTTGACAAAAAATTTAAAAAACTCATGTCGGTAACGGAGGGAATGAAATATGCAGCACTTTTTGGGCAATAAATACAAACAGTGATAACTCTTGGTTCTCACTTACATATCCTTAACAAACTGGTTTGAATATTTGCTTCATATAGTTTTCTACCATATGGTACAAGATTAGGTTGAAAAACCTCTTACTTTTTGAGTAATGAGATTTTTTTATTAAGAAAGGTCATGGTAACAGAGGGAAAGTTGTGCAAACAAGAAGAAGGTGCATGATTTTGCATAATTTCTCAGCTTTTTTCTTCCGAACACTTTAATATTACTTCAAAATGAAAGGAAATATGTCAGTCCTTCCAAGCAAATTTTTATCATTTTAAATACATAAAAAAAAAAAAATCATGTACCATCATCAACAGTTCAAAGACTGAATAACAAGATATGATGAAATGCATCAGTTTATTTATATGATTTGCAGGTCTTTGAAATTTTGGAAATAATTTTTGTTCCATGTTTCATACATGGTCTGTTTAAAACGTATGTAACTTTAGAACCAAAAATGGTACAGAAAAAAGGTCAACAGTTTCATAAACTAGAGTACATATGTATCTGTTCAATACATTTTTATATCAGATGCATTAACTTGAATTTTTGGCCTTGCTGTTTACTTCTGCTTGACCGGGCCCATGTATCATATAGACTCCAGTGTGGTTCACTTTCACACCTGCAAATGAACCAAAATTGATCCATTTGACATATATCCAAGGCTCCTGCTCAGAGCGAGGTCGACTGCACGTGGCTCAGGGAAGCTGAGGCTCTTCCAGCCCTACAGCCTCTCGCAAGCAACGTACCCTCTCGCTCAGTGGCCTTTTCACGGAGCCTTCCCCCCCAAGCAGAAGCCAGCCTCTGCCTCTCCAGACCAGGGGAGCTCGGACTTGCAAACCTACAGACCGGCAGCTGTAGGGCAGGCGTCCGGACCCAACCCCGGGCCCCTTCACACCCCTTAACCAGGCACACACTCAATTCAGGAGTCTGAGCCTGTCCTCCCATGATGCATTTCGAATAGTTCGTTTGGACCTACTGTCTATTGTTTGGACCCGAGTTAGCGTTCATACCAGTGTTAGGGAAAAGCCAAAAGGTCCCCAAACATGTTTTCTTTTTCTTGTTTATATTTTTCATATGCATTTCCGCCTAGTTTTGTTTTTGTAAGTTAGTTATGTTTTTGTGTTCTTTTTTGTACTCATTTCCGGCAGGAGGCCTTAAATGCGCGAGCCCGGCGCCGCCTCTCTCTCTCTCTCTCTCTCTCGCTCTCTCCTCCTCCTCGTCTGCCGCCGCTGCAGGTACCGGAGCGCACACGCCTCGCGCCGGGAGCCGCCCTGCTGGCTCCCCTGCTCCATGGATTGGGTAGCTTTTTGTTAGCCGTTATCCTTTTGTTTTGACCTAGTGGGACCGGTTGTCCTGTTTTCACTTTTTTGTTGGGTTTAGGTTGTTGGGCTTTTTTGGTCTTTAGTTACGGGTGCTGGCACCGGCTCCTACGGCTCTGTATAGGGTTGGCCCGGTGTCGCACCCTTCTGTTCTTTTTGGCCGGCTCATCAGGTCCACCTTTCTGTTGTTACTTTTTGGTTTGGACACGGGTAGGGTTTCTTTTTGGGGTTAAAACCATCACTACACCAAGAAGAAAAAAAAAGAACTCTAACCTTTAATTTGGTCTCCGTGTCCTTTGATAAATATGTTGAGACTCATGTTTCTGGGTCGTAACAACCAGAAGGACTGCACCAGAGTTTGACGTTTGGTGTGGAGTCAAGCGGACTGAGACCACCTCTGTTTTTTGAGGTCTTGGTCCGCTTGATTTAGTGTGGATCTGAGTGCGACTGATGCTTTCACACCAATGAAAATGAAACAAACTAAGAGCTTTTGGTTCGAATGGAACATTTTGGTGAACCGACTGCTGTCGGTTTACCTGGAAAAATCCAGACTCATCGCTGTACCATCGCTGATATGGATCTGTATAATAAATACAGAGATATTCTGGATTTCCAAGCAACCTGTCGGTGTGAAAGCACCCGTTTTAACCCAATCTACATTTCACTATTTTGTTTGTAAATGAAGATACAAATATTATTACAGACAAATCAGGTTCCTTCTTTCTCTGAGGTTGCTCCCGCTAGCGTTAGCAACAGGTTTGATTGACAGAGTTCCTAAGAAGGGACATTACCTTCAACAGCCTCGCTCCTAATTGGCTCTTTGGTTTGGTACGATACTCACATAATGTGAAACTTTGCTCTAAATACTCTCCTGTAACTACCAGCCTTGATGAGCTTCATTTGATTGGAGCCAAACACTACGGGTGATGTCACACTCACCTCTTTATACAGTCTATGGGTAGATGCAAATTAATATTTTTCATACAAACCTGTTGCTTTCTGGATTTTTGCATACACCCCAATGGCAATAATCAACAGCGAGAAAACCTGAGGGGAAAAAACAAAAAATATTGATGTAAAAAAGGTCACTCAAAACAGCTGGCAAACATACACTGAACCACTCTCCCAAAAAGTCTAATTTTTTCTAATCTCTCAACAAAAGTAATGCTATTTTGCTGCTGCAAAGTTTTACTGTCATGTGCTGATAGTTGTGTGTTTCTCTATTGTCCAGTTTGAAAAAAAAAAAAAAGGGAAACCACAACTGGTAATGGGAGTCAATGAGCAACAATAATATCTCCATGAAGACAAGCAGACAGCTCCCACTTATCCCGACCGGGACAGGAAACGGAGAATTTCTTGTACAAGTCATTGTTAAATGCACATTTGTGCTTCGGTATGTTGCAGACTGACACACTGTTTGTGTCTCGCTCCTTTTGAGTCACAGACGCTATGAGAGATGCTCAGTTTAATGCCCCCAATGAACGGTCATGAAAACCCAGACATTTCCACCACTTAAAAAAAAAAAAAAAAAAAACCCGGACGCCCAGGACAGGATGCAAAAAACGGACATGTCTGGGGAAGAACGGACGTTTGGTCACCTTAACTTATAGTCTGAAAAATACGGTATATGAAAATATAGAGTTCATGCTTGCTCCTGCTGTTTCCTTCTTTATTTTGCTTTTTTAATCATTTTACCTCCTCAGCACCAGATAATGTGTTTACTTTTTTCTTTTCTTTAAAAAAAAATGTAAAGCATTTAACATTTTTTAACAAATGTGATGAGCCAGCAGCATGTCGGGGGGGAAGAAACCAAATGAATTCTGTCTGTGAGCTCTGTCGGGCCTATCTGACTATAAAATAATGTGCAGATTCTTTTTCTAGATTTTTTTTTTTTTTTGATAGCCGTAGCTCTCCTGTAGACCTTGGCGGTGTTCTATACCACGCGTCCTGTTATAGCGTTGGCTCGTTTTCATCCCATCTGGAAATTACACCACTCATTGCCCAGATTTATCCTATAGACACTAACTGCCTTGTTATTTGTGTGTATTGAGATTGATAAGTTACCAACAGCAGCCATTATCCCAAACATAAAATGCCCATTCCAATACGGCACAGCTGGAGAGACGCGCTTCTCTCTGCTCTGTGGTTTATTTGTTAGCGTCCTGCTGTGTACTGTCGTAAAAGTTTGCGCAGTGTATTTGTTTGATTACATCAGAAAAAAGTGAAGTCAGAGCCACATGCTTCATTTGACACAAAAACGATACGAGCAAAATATTTAAATTTCTCTGACATGTTCTGTACACGCGACGGAAATATGGTTTTAAGGTTCTATGTTACACAAAAAGTCACAAGAGTCAATGTTACTGAAGCAGGACTAGACCAGGACTAAACCTGAACTGAACCAGGACTACACCAGGACTAAACCAGTGCAAGACCAGGAATAAACCCAAACTGAACCAGAACTTCTACAGGACTAGACCAGGACTAGACCAGGACTAGACCAGGACTAGACCAGGACTAGACCAGGACTAAACCTGAACTGAACCAGGACTACACCAGGACTAAACCAGTGCAAGACCAGGAATAAACCCAAACTGAACCAGAACTTCTACAGGACTAGACCAGGACTAGACCAGGACTAAACCTGAACTGAACCAGGACTACACCAGGACTAAACCTGAACTGAACCAGGACTACACCAGGACTAAACCAGTGCAAGACCAGGAATAAACCCAAACTGAACCAGAACTTCTACAGGACTAGACCAGGACTAGACCAGGACTAAACCTGAACTGAACCAGGACTACACCAGGACTAAACCTGAACTGAACCAGGACTACACCAGGACTAAACCAGTGCAAGACCAGGAATAAACCCAAACTGAACCAGAACTTCTACAGGACTAGACCAGGACTAAATCAGAACTGAACTAAGACTGAGACAACACTAGACCTTGGGCAGACCAGGACAAGATCCCGGACTATACCAGAACTAAGCCAGGACTGAACCAACACTAGACCAGGGCTAACCCCAGAACTGAACCAGGACTAAACCAGAATTAGGCCAGAACTAAACCAGAACAAGCCCAATTCTAAACCAGATCTAGGCCAGGACTAAACCAGGACTAGACCAGGACTTCTACAGGACCAGACCAGGACTAAACCAGAACTGAGCTAAGACTAAACCAACACTAGACAAGGGTTAAACCAGGACTAGACCAGGACGAAACCAGAACTAGACCAAGTCTGAAACAGAACTGGCCCAAGTCTAAACCAGATCTAGGCCAGGACTAGACCAGAACTAAACCAGAACTAGACCAGGATTAAACCAACACTAGACCAGGGCTAAACCAGGACTAAACCAGAACTGAACTAAGACTGAACCAACACTAGACAAGGGTTAAACCAGGACTACACCAGGACGAAACCAGAACTAGACCAAGTCTGAAACAGAATTGGCCCAAGTCTAAACCAGATCTAGGCCAGGACTAGACCAGAACTAAACCAGAACTAGACCAGGATTAAACCAACACTAGACCAGGGCTAAACCAGGACTAAACCAACACTTGAAGAGGGCTAAACCAGAACTAGGCCAGGACTAAACCAGGACTAGACTAGGACTAAACTAAAACTGAACTAGGACTGAACCAACTCTAGACCAGGACTAAACCAGGACCAAAACAACACTAGACGAGAGCTAAACTAGGACTAGACCAGGACTAAATCAGAATAAGATCAGGACTAAACCAGAACTAGGCCAAGACTTAACCAGAACTGAACTAGGACTGAGAGAAACACTAGACAAGGGCTAAACCAGGACTAGACCAAGACTGAACCAGAACTCAACTAGGACTGAACCAACACTAGGATAGGGTTAAACTAGGACTAGACCAGGACTAAATCAAACTAAGCCAGGATTGAACCAACACTAGACCAGGGCAAAACCAGAACTAGGTCAAGACTAAACCTACACTAGACCAGGAATAAACTAAGACTAGATTAGAACTAGGGCAGGACTGGACCAACACAAGGACTAAACCAGGACTAGACCAGGGCTAAAATAAAACTAGACCAGGACTAGACCAGGACTAGACAAGAACTAGGCCAGGACTGAACCAACACTAGAACAGGGCTAAACCAGGACTAGACTAGGGTTTAAACAGGACTAGGCCAGGACTGAACCAACGCTAAACCAAGACTAAACCAGGACTAGACCAGGACTGAACCAACGCGAGGCCAGGACTAAACCAGGACTAGACCAGGGCTAAAATAAAACTAGACCAGGACTAGACCAGGACTAGACAAGAACTAGGCCAGGACTGAACCAACACTAGAACAGGGCTAAACCAGGACTAGACCAGTGCTAAACCAGAACTAGACTAGGGTTTAAACAGGACTAGACCAGGACTGAACCAACGCTAGACCAGGGCTAAACCAAGACTAAACCAAGACTAAACCAGGACTAAACCAGGACTAGACCAGGACTGAACCAATGCTAGGCCAGGACTAGACCAGGACTAGACCAGGACTAGACCAGGACTAGGCCAGGACTGAACCAGAACTAAACCAAAACTAAGCCAGGACTGAACCAACACTAGACTCGTGTTGGTTCAGGTCTAGACCAGGGCTAAACCAGGACTAGACCAGAACTAGACCAGAACTGAATTAGGACTAAACCAGAACTAAACCAGGACTAAACTAGTCCTAGACCAGAACAAGGCCAGGAAAAGACCAGGAATAAACCCAAACTGAAACTGATATGAGCAAAATATTAAAATTTCATATACACATACTATAAAAGTAACAAAAATATGTGTCCTACTTATATTACGCAAAATTGACTCTTGTGAGCTTAAAGTCGTGTTATAATTTTGTTATCGCAAGTTAAAATCTTCCTTTTTCCTTTAGTTCGAGATCGGAAATTCTCCAAACGTCTTCACTAGATTCATAGTGGAGATGTTTGTGTGTTAAACATTTGTGACTGAAACAAAACAACTCCAGGTCTGTTTGTGATGAGGAAAAATCATTATAACAGAGATCAGAAAATAGAGTAACATGAGACCTTTAAATCTGACTGGTAGTTTTATAAAAGTTTGAAAACGTTGTGCCATGAGTGGGCCATGCAATATTCAATTCTTATCACTCTGAAAATTCTAGTTTGGATCAAATTCTCTGCAACATTCCTGCTTTCACCTTGACTGAAGCAAAAATCAGCTTTGAAAAGTTTTTGAAATATAGTTTGAAGTTTGTTTTATGACTTCAAAATGATACCCACCGGGACTAAAACCAGGACTAGACCAGGAATAAACCTGAACTGAACCAACACAAGACCAGGGCTAAACCAGGACTAAACCAGGACTAGACTAGAACTAAACCAAGACTGAACCAGGACTGAACCAGGAGTAAATAATGACTGATTCAGAATAGGTTCAGTCCTGGTCTAAGACTAGGCCATGTTTAGACCAGGACTAAACCTGGATGGAACCAATCCTGGACCATGGCTAAACCAGGACTGAATCACAACTAGACCAGGACTAAATCAGGACTAAACCAGGACTAGACTAGAACTAAACCAAGACTGAATCAGGACTGGACCAGGAGTAAATGATGACTGAATCGGGATTAAACCAGAACTAAACCAGAACTAAACTAGTCCTAGAAAAGGACTAGACCAGGATTGAACCAGAACAAAACCAGCACTAGATCAGGACTAAACCAGGACTGAACCAGGAATAAACCCAAAATGAACCAGAACTAAACCAGGACTAAACCAGGACTTCTGCAGGTCTAAACCAGAACTAGACAAAACATAAACCCAAAATGAACCAGGACTAGACCAGCAGTAAACCAGGACTGAAACAGGACTAAACACGAACTAAACCAGGACTAAACTAAGCCTAGACCAGGACTAGATCAGGAATAAACCCAAACTGAACCAGGATTAGACCAGAAATAGACCAGGACTAAACCAGAACTAAACCAGCACTAGGCTAGGATTAGACCAGGAATAAACCCAAACTGAACCAGGACTGAACCAGGACTGAACCA